ATATATAAAACAATGAAGGTTAAATAAAACATTCAGCATTTGTTAAAACTCTACAAATTATTTATTATAAGGGGGAACAGCGTTTTTTTCACTTTGTTTTTTTTTTCAGTCTCTATTTTCTTATGATCCCATTAAATAAATTATTTGTATATTTATTTAAAACCCCCAAACTGACCATTACTGTAGAGGAGCTGCAGTCTGTAATGGATCCCATTGTTGGTCTTTTCTCCTGTAGTTTCCTGTGAAAATGAAAAGCAAGTGTCCATGAGAGCAAACAAACACAGCAACTCCTCCTGGGACCTTTTATTTTATTTTATTTGAAATAAATAGATTAAAAAAAAAGTCTCAACGTGAGATTTAATTTCAATTATTTATCTTTATTTCTAGTCTAAAGAGCCAAAGAACAGACAACTTTAAAAAAAAAGGTCTAACTTTGCTTAAAGAATAATGCATTATCAATTAAAACTCAATTATTTGAGCTCTTTTATTGCTCTAAAACTTTTCAAAACAAATTACATTGATGCTGCTCTGTATTAGTTAAAATGTTAATTCATAAAACTAAAAAAAAAAAGCTTTCATTAAAATGTCGCAGAATTTCTAATGAACTGCGCAGCAACAGAATTCGTTCTGTCATTTAAATAGTTTTATTCTCACCTTATATATAAAATCAACAAACCTTAATAAACAAATCACATATAAATTTAAACATCACGTGACACTGTAAACAGATTAATTATCCAGTTGAGAAAAGACTAAATCAAATGTTTATTTTAAAAAGTAAAACGTTTCCTGACAGTTACAATAAATTAAAGCCGAAATGCAGAGCGGGAAGTGAGAATAAAAGTGATAAATACTCATAAAAAACTCTATTAGTAAATAAATATTTACCATTATAACGATAATCCAAATACCCACAAGAATAATTGGAGTTTCAGCCAAATCCCGTCAGAGCTAATTGATCCCTGACTGAATACTTTATAATTAATCCTTCATCATTTCTGTTTGCGCCATGCGCTCACATGTGGAAGGTGTGAGTTAGAAAATGCGCTTTTTTCTCTCAATATAAAAATAAACAAATAAATCCAAACTCACCTTTTCTTTCTCCACAAAGTCAACAAAGGTGGTCCTCTCTATCTCCACGGGCTGGCCCTGCCGGTCGTACAGCGCCAGCACGAAGTGGAAGAAGTTGGACTTGCGCAGGTTGGAGGGCGGCTGTTTCTCGAAGTGCGCCCGCGCGAGCCCCACTCCGCTGCGGACAACAAGCAGACAGAAGCAGCTGCAGCCTCAACCACGGCAGTGAACAGAAAATCAATCCACCCACGAAGAAAAATAATAAGAATAAAGTGCAGAGAATTCCATAAATGTTGGATTAAAGCGTTTCCGCCGGGCTCCAAATGGAACAGAGATTGTGCGTAAAGGAGTGAAAGCATGCGCACTCATCCTGTTGAAAATGAATTAAAACTGAAGCAAATGTGCGTGTTCAATTAGGAGTGACGTTTAAAAAAAAAAAACAGTTTTTATCATTTGGACATGTTTGGTGTGATAATCGGGTTTGATTCTTGTTCTTTTTTAATATTAAAAACTTTTACAACTTTATGAAAACTATATATTTTTTTTAAACCAGGGTTTTCTGGCAAATACAATTCAAAGCATTTGTTTTTTTAAAGAGCTTTCTCAGCTTCATAAGAACCAAAACTAAAAGATAAAAAAAAAAAAAAAAAAAAAAAAAAACTAGAAATAAAAACCAAAGTGTAAAACTTCCAGGTGAGTTTCTTATTTTTACAGCATCGTGTTCAAATCTCCGCTTCTGGAAATAAATAAAAAAAATCAGTAAAACTCTGAAGAGGGTTTGATCTAAAGCCGCACGGGAGCAGAGGTCACCCCCCCATCCCTTCCTCTTCACCACCCCCCCTTTAGCTCTGTCCTCTCTGGGGACGCGTGCTGTCCCAGGTGGATCCACCGCTCCGGTCCCCCCCTCACCACCACAGCGGTGCGGGCGCAGCGCCGAGGCCGCCTCGGGCTCACCTCTGGGCGGCTGTGTTGGCGTCCAGCACCCCGGCGCCCTGCATCCATGTCCGAACCGCGTTCATCCCGGCCACCATGGGCTCCTCTTTCATACTACTCCCGCTCCTCTGGATGCTCTCGTGGATGCCAAACATCAAAACGCACCTTCAGCTCTGCAGTCTCTCTCTCTCTCTCACGCACACTCAATCCTCCTCTCCTTCGTTTCCCCCCCTCTTCTTCCTCCCCTCCTCTCCTCCCTTCTTTGATAGCGCTGTCACAGGAGCAAAGCGGCGTGGTCTTATTCACTCAGGGCTCAGACGCGCGCGTTTTCACCTCAAAGTAAACAAAAGACGCGACACGTGGAAGCAGGGGGTGGGGGGTGGGGAGTGGAGGGGAAGAAACAGGGGAGTCGGGGGGTGGTGGTGGGAGCTGTCAGCATCCAGAGGTTAGCTGCTCCTCATGTCAGCGACTCCAGGAAGGAAGAAGAGGAGCTGAGATGTGAGGACGAGGCGCTGCGCGCGGATCAAGGTGGAACACCAGAACTGTCTCTGCAGCAAGAAGGAAAACAAGCAGGGATCCAAGTCTTCCTCCTGATGAAGATTTAAAATGTTGGGGCGGGTTGACTGGAGGGGGGGTGGGGGGAGTGAAGTCCCGCGCTGCGCTCCTCTTCAGCTCCCCGCTCCGCTGATCTGCGCTCCTCCTGAGGAGTCACTCCGAACCATCTCTGGGACGCGGAACAGGAGAAAAACTACAAGTAGGTGAGAGGGGGCGTGGCCTTGGGAGCGGGGCGAACAGGAACGCCCCCCTTCTTCCCCCATACCACCCCCCACCTTCAAACACAACTAATGACACGGACAATCAGCGAACCCCGGACCAGCACGGTCTGCTGAGATGTCCCCGCCTCGTGGGTGCCACTCGAACGTGAAGCCGCGCGCGCGCGCACGTGCGTGAACCTGCAATGGATGCAGCTCTCTTAAAAAAAAAAAATAATAATAATAATAATAAGTCCTCACACGACAACCAGGATGAACTCATCGTTTTGAGAAGCTGCAAACCAGAGCTGGAACGGGAATGATTCGAACCTCTGCATTAAATAAATAAACAAATAAATAAATAAACAAATAAATAAACCTTTCCTTTTGTTGAGTCTTGCTGTAATGCAAGTTAAACATAAAACAAACAAACAAGATGTTAAATGTGCGTTTAATGATGGAAACCGACACTGAACAGTCGGCACTTTGCATGTGCGCGCGCACTCACTTATAAGAGAATATTTGACGGAAGCGTCAAAGTTTTATTTTCTGCATCTCGGAGAGATCACGAGGGCAAGAAAGTTTCAAGAAGCCTCTCCAGTCGCTGCGCGCGCACTCCTCCGGATTTTGCAACAAGTCTGATGAGCAGCTTGAGTCAAATGAACGGGAGCAGAGCTGAGTCCAACATAAACACGAGGATTCAAACACGCAACTGCGCCGCGCGCGTCCCCGTGTCCAACACAGCAAAGACACAAAGATGGGCTCAAAAAGAACCAAAGCAAACAAGAAAAATGTGCCGCAGCAACAAACTGCAGCGCTCACTGGAAAACAAGCTGAGTTTTGTGCAGATGTTCTGCCAACATCTGGCTGTTCACTCACTTTCAAATGGATGTTTGGTTTATTATAACGAAATGAAAATAAATGTGCGCGTTATAATCCGCTTAAATAAGTAGTGCTGTTACAAATTAGGGCGCAAAATCTGAGAATATAAGTCACTATTGCACCTTTTTAAAAAAAATCCCTAAATCACTTTTACTTTCACTTTTGACACCAACATCGCGTTTCTTAAATGGCACGTGCGTGTGTGGAGCCCAAAGAGAGTCTTTACTCTGATAAGAGCCATAAACGGTCAAGGTTGTGGGCACCAAGAGCAGCAATCATCCCATCATTGTCTGGAGCTGTTTATTTATGCCTCCTGCTGTTGGAGGACACAACCCCCCCCCCTCCCCCCCCCACACACACACATACACACAAGTCCGGAGCGATCCTTCAGCACTTTTGTTTGATTGTGCCCATCAGTCTGCTTGGGTCCGACATGCAGGCCAACAGCGCGAGCACTGCAGGCCTCTGGGGGTGGCTTATATTAACTCTCCCCCCCCCCCCCCCCCCCACACACACACACACACTGTTAACCTAAATATCATGGTCTCAGTATCCCATGCGGAGATGTTCCAGCCATGTTAATGCTGTGATTTACCAACTCCAACTCTCTGATCATTACACGCAGCTGGAATCCACGCGCATGGTTTAATCCATGCAGAGGTGTGTGCATGAGAGTCGTGTTCAAGTGCACACATATTGTATGGTTATTAAAAAACAACAACAACAACAAAAAAAAACAATTCCTGAATATTTTAAGGAAACTCGTGAAAAAGGAGAAGAAGTGCCTCCTCCTGCACAGCCAGATGTTGCTGTAAATCAAAAAGGTTGGGTGGGTTTGATGATAATAATGGCCCCGATCGACTTGAAGCCTCATAAAAAAATAACAACTTATGAGAACAGACCTTATGTCCGACAAGCTGCTGCTGAGAAACACGCGTTTAAAATTTAAATCCAGAGTTAAACTTGCTTGGTGTCAGCAGGAAACATTATGTGCTGTGTGTCGGGATTTAGTTCTTTATTTTGCTGCTAATTGGAGAGAGAAAAACTTTGTTTATGACTTTAGATTTAATGCTAAAAATATGAATTATAGAACAGAAATATTGGGATGAAATTATAACTCCTTTAAGGTCCGACCCGTTCTTACGTCACACCAGCAGCTCATATAAGAAGTGAAATGCTGCCACCTAGCGGCTCAAACTGGACATTACTTTACTGAAAGATTAAAAGCCAGTTGAACACAGGGATGGAGCACATACTGTTTGGAGGGTGGATGTGACTAAATTAAATACATAAATACATCATGAAATAATCAAATGTAAATGTCATTAAATAATTAAATGTATAATTTAATTATTAAATACATCAATAAGCATTAAATATACAATTAAATTAAATGAAATATCAGCTTCAAGCATTATTATTTTTTAAAAATACGTTTAAGTATTTCACTGTGTATTTATTTCATGGCTCTCATGCAACAGTTTAATCATGAAATTATGCTAACTGTCAACCTCGCTCCACCCTCCATAATATTTTCTTTAATTCCCCTCCTGTACATCAGTGTCTACGTTATGGTGAAAGTCCTGGTAATTGTAATGCTCTGCAGTACCCTCATCATCTTTGAGTGATGAGAAACACTTCTGTGAAATGAGACATAGAAGCAAAAAGTGTTAAAAAAATAGTCACTGAGCATCAATGTCATCTTTTTTTCAGCTGGTTTAGATTTTACAACAAACCAGATAAGGTAAGCTATAGCTCAAAGATTAAATAAGATAAATGCTGATATTTTTATTAGTTGTTCTTGTTTATGCAAAAGCTAGCATTAGCATTGCAGCAACGCTATAGCTGCTAGAGGGAGTAAGACAGTCTGCACTTCTAAGATAAGCAATAACTCGTAGGTTTGTTTACAGTTTCATATTGTTTTTGTTTTGATTTGACATTTTGCAACCGTGTATGCAGACGATTATTGTAGAGCAAGTTATTTAGCTTGAATGTTGGTGTTGTTGACAATACTGCTTTAATGTTGTCTAGTTGCAGCTCTTTGCATTTCTGTCTACGTGATAGTTCTGCCAGTGTTCATGTAAACTAAGCTTAATTAATACTGTTTTCAAGTTTTGCAAATAAATAAAGAAGTTTGATTTTGCAGAAGGCAGCACGGTGGCACAACTGGTAGAGCTGCTGCTTCTCAGCGAGCAGGTCCTTGGTTCAAATCCCTGTCTCAGGGCCTTTATGGGTGGAGTTTGCATGTTCTTTCCGTGCATGCGTGGGTTTCTCCGGGTACTCCGGTTTCCTTCAACATACCAAAAACATGCATGTTAGGCTGATTGGTAACTCTAAATTGTCTCTATGTGTGAATGAGAGAGTGAACGGTTGTTTGTCTCGTTTGTCTCTATGTGTCCCTGTGATGGACTGGAGACCTGTCCAGGGTGTACCCGCCCCTCGCACAGTGATTGCTGGACATGGGCACAGGCGACCCCCGTGACCCAAAATGGAAGAAGCGGGTAAAGATAATGGATGGATGGATTTTGCATAAATTTAAATGTATATTTCCTGTTGTGAAGCAAAGGCACAAAATAACGTTGCAGACTTTTAGAATAAGCCTGTCTATACAAACAAACAACACCAAAAAATCTTATTTCTTACTTGTCTTTTAGGACTAACTGGAGCCAAAAATATTTTCACAGGTCAGTTAAAAGTACTTTTAGGCAGACCCAGAAAACATATTAGTATTTTCTTCCACATTTTTGGGTCAAAGACTTTTTTGCAAAATGTTTTTTTCATAAATGTTTTAACAAAAAGAACAGCAAATAAAATAAATAAATAAAACAAAAATCTGCAAATAGGACATTAGTTCAAGAGATGAAAAAACTTCAGTCCCAATATAATCAATCAATCAATCAATCAATCAATCAATCAATCCACAATTTAATTAATTAATCAATTAATTACTAATATAAATAAATGAGTAACAAGTAAGTTTATGGCAAGTGATAATGTTACCCTGTGAAACTTCTCTCTTTAATGTTTGACATTTGTAAAATGTATTTCACTATGACAACACTTTTGTTTTCATCCATTTATTAACACATTTCAACAGTTAATGCAATTTTAATGTCGTTAAAGTGATGCATCCACTCACCCGTTTGGTATGAAACATATTGTTATATCACTGTTCATTTTGTTGTTGTTGTTCTTATATTTATATTTACAAGGTATGACATATTGCTCAGAATTTCCTCTCCTCATCCAAAGACTCTACTTCCTAAGAAGACTAAAAAAGTTTGGTACAAACACCAGCATCCTCACCATATTTATTGGTGCACCATGGAGAGCCTGCTGACAGGCTGCATTACAGGGTGGTATGAGAGGTGCACCGGTCAGAGAGCACTACAGAGGGTGGTGCAAACAGCAGAGGACATCACTGGCAGCAGTCTCCACACCATCCAGGACATCTACCACAGCTGATGTCTGCATAAAGCACTCAGCATCATTAAGGAGCACACGCACCAAGTATGGCATGTATACATGAGGAGCCTCCCATCGCACACGAAAAGACTCAAAGACATTTATTACCCACAAGCTGT